TCATAATATCACAAAGACACTGTGTGTGTATGTTTATTGCAGTACAATTCACAATTGCAAAGATATGGAACCAATATAAGTGCCCATCGACCAATGTATTAGTCCATTTTCACGCTGCTGATAAAGACACACCCTAGACTGGGCAATTTACAAAAAAAAAAAAGAGGTTTAATTGGACTTACAGTTCCACGTGCCTGGGAAAGCCTCACCATCATGGCGGAAGGCAAGGAGGGGCAACCCCATCTTACATGAATGGCAGCAAGCAAAGACAGAATGAGGAAGAAACCCCTGATAAAACCGTCAGATCTCATGAGACTTATTCACTACCACAAGAACAGTATGGGGGAAACTACCCACATGATTCAGTTATTTCCAAACAGGTCCTTCCCACAACACATGGTAATTATGGGAGTTCAATTCAAGATGAGATTTGGGTGGGGACACAGAGCCAAACCGTATCATTCCACCCATGGCCCTCCAAATCTCATGTCCTCACATTTCAAAACCAACCATGCCCTCCCAACAGTCCTCCAAAGTCTTAACTCATGTCAGCATTAACCCAAAAGTGTACACTCCAAAGTCTCATCTGAGACAAGCCAAGTCCCTTCTGTCTATGAGCCTGTAAAACCAAAAGCAAGCTAGTTACTTTCTAGATACAATGGGGGTACAGGTATTGGGTAAATACAGCCGTTCCAAACAAGAGAAACTGGCCAAAACGAAGGGGCTAGAGGCCCCATGCAAGTCTGAAATCCAGTGGGGCAGTCAAATATTAAAGCTCCAAAATTATCTCCTTTGACACCAAGTCTCACATCCAGGCCACACTGATGTAAGAGCTGGGTTCCACGATTGTGGGCGGCTTTGTCCCTATGGCTTTGTAGAGTATAACCTCCGTCCAAGCTGCTTCCACAGGCTGGTGTGGAGTGTCTGCAGCCTTTCCATACTCACGGTGCGAGCTGTCGGTGGATCTATCGTTCTGGGGTCTGGAGGATGGCAGCCCTCCGCACAGCTCCACTCGGCAGTGCCCCAGTAGGGACTCTGTGTGGGGGCTCTGACCCCACATTTCCCCTTTGCACGGGCCTAGCAGAGGTTCTCCAAGGGAGCCCCACCCCTGCAGAAAACATCTGCCTGGGCATCCAGGCGTTTCCATACATCTTCTGAAATCCAGGCAGAGGTTCCCAAACCTCAGTTCTTGACTTCTGTGTATCCGCAGGCTCAACAACACGTGGAAGCTGCCAAGGATTGGGGCTTGCACCCTCTGAAGCCACAGCCCGAGCTATACATTGGCCCCTTTCAGCCATGGCTGGAGCGGCTGGGACACAGGGCACCAAGTCCCTAGGCTGCACACAGCTCAGGGATCCTGGGCCAGACCCATGAAACCACTTTTTCCTCTCAGACCTCTGGGTCTGTGATGGGAGGGGCTGCCATGAGGACCTCTGACATGTCCTGGAGACATTTTCCCATAGTCTTGGGGATTAACATTTGACTCCTCATTACGTATGCAAATTTCTGTAGCCAGCTTGAATTTCTCCTCAGAAAATGGGATTTCTCTTTTCTATTGCATTGTCAGGCTGCAAATTTTTCAAACTTTTATGCCATTTCCCTTTTAAAACTGAATGCCTTTAACAGCACCCGAGTCACCTCTTAAACATTTTGCTGCTTAGAAATTTCTTCCACTAGATAACCTAAAACATCTCTCTCAAGTTCAAAGTTCCACAAATCTCTAGGGCAGGGGCAAAATGCCATCAGTCTCTTTCCTAAAACATAACAAAAGTCA